GAAAATACTGACTTGCATCTATGCTTTCTTATTCCAAAAATAATAAACAGGAAGATTTTTGTAGTTAATATTTCTCACAATACGAGAAGTTTTGTATTTATGAATAAATGTGAAATTCATTTTTTCAGTGCCAGCTGCATTTACACAGCAAAATATTATAACACGTGATTTTTCTTTTTTATGACCTAATATAGGAGTTCATGCTAAAACTCTAGAAGATTCCATTTTCTAGAAAAGGTCAATTTCATTACCATTCCAAATATTTTCAGAATTATAAGACGCAAGAAGTTATTATAAAACAATACGATTATTTACTATTGATTCAGTAGAAGGTGCACTTGCAGCTTCACCTTGCTTCTTAAACTGATGCAAACTATGACATTTTTTAAACTATATAACCACCCTTCTGAATTATTAAAATCTTCTATAGAAAACTGTCTAGTAAAATAATTTGCTTTAGTTTTTAAAATATTATCATCAATGTCTTGTTTTATATTAAGTGCATTATCAACCCAAATACTAAGTTCTTTCTCAAGTTGAGGCCACTTTGGATTACGAAATTTTTTAACATTTCCTTGCCCTTCTGAAATTGCAAGCCAACGCTCTTTTTCATTCAAAATATCAGTAACTGTTGACTTTCCAATACAAAATTGTTATGCAAGTTCAATATTAGGAAGACTTAGATTTTTTTTTTTAGTTTCACATATTTCATATTTTTGTGCAGCTGAAAGAACAACCCTTTTTTTTGACATAATATCAGAGATCTTTAAACAAAAATTTTCTGTGTTCTGATGAAAAAAAGATTATTCATATTACGATAATCTTATAAATAACTTTAAGTCACGTGATCAGTTCAGTATATCTAATATGTGGCTAATATATTTGGTTTAGCCAACGTAGTTCAGATACAGTATATGGAATTTTACTATGTAATTTCGGTATATCCAGTGTAATTAATTATAAAAAATTGGTTCTGCACCACATAGTTTAATATAACCAGTTTTTGGTATAAACAGGTTTGTTATAACCAGTGACGATTATATTATTATTAAAAGTATAAAAATTGTATAAAAATTGTAAAATAATAGTTAAGTATTTTAAGTATATATAAATATCTATTATTACAATAAAAATAAAAAATATATTATAAAAAATAAAGCTTTATATAAGCTGATTTATTATTAGTTTAATCTTAACCACTTTTATTTTAGTTTAACTTAATTTAATATATAATAAATAATTTAAGTTAAACTAATTCAGATTATAAACCAGTTTATTTAACTTATATAATTTAATAAAATATTTCTAGAATAATTTTTTTGAAAAACATTCATAGAATAATTTAGAAGGATTTTGTTTTATATTTTTTTTAAAAAATTATTCTAGAAATATTTTTTTAAAAAAAAATTAATTTTAAATCTTTATTCTTTAAAATAACTAAAAATATATTTTTTTCAAAATCTTTTTTTAAAAAAAAATAGCTCTAAATATATTTATTTTCAAAATCTTTTTTTAAAAAAAAATAGCTCTAAATATATTTTTTTTAAAAATAATTTTAAAATTCTTTATTTTTTAAAATATCAAATGCATTTTTCTTTTAAGAAATCCTTTATAGTTATAATTTTTGAGAAAATCATTTTATTAATAAATTACTTTAAAGATAAAATTCTTGAGAAAAATTATTCTAAAAATAAATTTTTAAGAAAATTATTTTAGAGAAAAAATAATTAAATATTTTAAAAGTGAATTTCTTTAAAAAAATTACTATAGAAGTAAATTTCTTTAATAAAAATTCTTTAAAAGTAAATATTTTTAAAATATTTAGAAGGAATATCTCTAAAACTAACTTTTCTTAAAAAAATTCTATCAGATGTATTTTTAAAACTAAATAATTTTAAAACTATTTTTTTTAAAAAAAATATTATTTAGATATATTTTTCTTCAAAAAAAATACTTTAAAAGATATTTATATTATTAGTTTAATATTTGTAAAACTAAAATAATTTATTTTTAATTCAATATATTGAATTAAATATAAGACTTTATTATAATCACATCTAATAAAAATATGATAAAGGGTAGTAGTAAATGATTTTATAAGATTCATTTATTGAACTCTTAATTTACTTTAAAACTTTATTTCAAATTACTTTTCAATTCAAAAGAAAATACAAGATATTTAAATAAAATATAATAAATATAATATAAATTATAATAATATAAATAAGATAAATATAATAATTTTACTAAATAAGATATAAATTATAAATATAACAAATATAACTAATTTATCTAATATATCTAATAGATCAAATATGATCATTTTATTATAAAATGTATAGCAGTATTGAGTTTAATACTGTAAATTATAAAGTTAAAAGAAAATGAGTAAAATATAAGTTATCAAATACTTTTATGAGAAATTGAAGAAGAAATATAATATTTATATAATAAAATCTACTTTATAAAACTATATATAACTCGAATATCTAGTAATAAAAGAAGCATAAAAATACTATTTTCTTATATAAATCTATTAAGCATCTATTAGTAGAAATGAAATGAGTAGTCATATAAATAAGTATTATTACTTGACTTTAGTTAAGAGCATAAAATTATTTGTATTAGTTTTTTTATATATATTATATTAATTTTATAAAATAATAAAAATTAAAGGTATTTATTTACAATCTTTTTTTTAAATATTAAATTTTAAATATATAATTCTCAAAATTTACAATTTTTTGCTAATATTTTAAAATATTTATTACTAATTCAAAGACTTAACCTAAATTATTATACTATTTAAATATATATATTAGAATAATTAACTTATAATCTGATAGAATAAATCATAATATTATTTTTTGATAAATTGATAAGTATTAAGTTAAATGCATTTATATATAATAATATTTCAGAAGTGTTAATAAAAAGTTACTATTGTTAATAAAGATCTTAAATATTATAACTTTAAATATGAAAGAGAATATTTATATAACTTTTAAAGATATAATAGTATTAATAGTCATCTAGTTTTACTACATATATTTAAAAGTATGATCAATTAGAATTTTTAAATATTAATAAAAAAATTATAGAATTGATTAATATATATAACTAAATTTGTAAGTATTCTCTTAATTTAAGAAAGTATAAAGATTAAAATTGTTATAAAAAAATATGTATATTCAAAATTTATCTAGAAAAAATAGTTTTTTACTACCTATTATTCAAAGTTTTGATGATCATTTTCTAAATCTAATTCATATTTTAAAATATTATGAAAAATTATTATATTATAATAAATATTATTTTAATATAACTTTAAATTTATATCATAATCTTATATATTAAAAATGCTTAAAATATTTTTATTAAATAAGTTTTATAAATATATTAAATAATTTATCAAATAAAAAAATAAAAGTGATAATTAATGATACCTATAAAATTACTATAAATAATAATATAATATAGGTTATATGAAGGATATATAAATAAAGGATAATAGAATAATAATTCATAAAATTAATAAAAAAGTAATAAAAAAAAGTAAAAGTAAAATAAAGGATTTATAATAATAAAGATTATTAATAAAATAATAGAAGATTTTAATAATCAATATAGCTATAATAGTTTATAATAATAAATAAAAAATAATATAATAACTTCAATTAATTAATCATTTTATTTTTTTTACTATTTTGAATTTAATTTTTTATTTTTGAGTTTAAAAATTTATTTTATTTTTATTGTATTAAATATAAAATTATCACTAAATTATTTTTATTTTAATTTATAATTTCTTTTTATTAAATTTAAAAATTAATATGTGATTTTTGCATTTTCTTTAAATAAAATTGATAATAAGAAGAAAATGGTCAAAATCTTAAAAATTAAAATAATATTATTTCTTTCTCTCTTTTAATTTTGATATAGAAACAGTTAAAACTAAGAGACTTAAAGCAGTTTTAGCAGTATTTTAACAATTATATATATATTAAAGTATACTTTTATCTCTAAGAAACTTTTGAACTTTGTTGTTTTGCATATGAAATCCTTTATAAAAACAAGACTTTTAAAGTGAAATATTAGATAAATTTACTATTATGTAAATTTTTTCTTGAAATTTTATAATAGCTTACAAGTTCATCACTTCATATTCATAATATTCAAGATCTGTTAACATGAAAAAAATTATTTATTTTTTTTTAGAATGAAATTACTAGTTTTAGAATTTTAATAAAATTCTTTAAATTGAAAAATATTTATATATGTTGTGCCGATTATTTCTATATTAGGAAGGTGATGGTGTGACCTGTAACACATTTCGGACGCGTGCTTCATGATATTAAGATTGAATTACGACATTTTTATATAAAATTCACTACTCTCTTTTTTTTCCATTTTAAAAAAAGTAACATTTTTTTCAGTCGGTTGGTCCCGGTTCAAGTGTCGTTAATTTTCGTTACTTTATTAAAAGTAAGCTTTATTGAAGAATATTGTAACTAGCTTAGGCGATATTTTTGCATAAAAAGTTTAAGAACTAGGTTTTGATTGCATCCTAGATATCAAGCATTTAAAGATAATTTCCGAGAATAAGGTAAGTTTTATTGAGTTTTGTACTTGCTTAGGCGAAGCTTCGGCGTAAAAAGGTTATCCTGCGTTCTAACGAGGTCATG